GTTATGCTGTGTATTGTGATGCCTCACGAGAGGATTTGGGTTATGTGTTGATGCAAGAGGGGAAAGTAGTAGCCTATAGCTCATGTCAGTTGAAAACACACGAGAGGAATTACCCTACTCATAACCTAGAGTTAGCGGCTGTGATATTTGCCTTGAAAATTTAGAGGCACTATCTATATGGAGAGAGGTTTAAAGTATTTTCCGATCATAAGAGTCTGAAGTATCTGTTTATATAAAAAGACTTGAATTTGAGGCAGAGAAGGTGGATGGAGTTTAAAGAAGATTATGACTTCGAGTTGCATTATCATCCGGGGAAGGCCAATATTGTGGCCAATGCCCTTAGTAGGAAGTCCATTAGTGATGTAGCTTGTATTGCTATCCGAGAATGGGAGATGTTAGGTGCTCTTGGTGAATTTGACTTGCGTCTGGGCGAGTCTATGGAGTCTGGAGCCTTGTTTTCTGTAGTTGCACAACCTACACTTGTGAACCGAGTGTTGGAAGCACAGAAGGGTGAATTTGAGGTAGAATCCCTCCAGGAGAAGATCTCTAGTAGGAAGGTAGAGAAGGATTTGACTGTGTATCCCGACCTGAGTGTGAGGTATCAAGACCGTTTGTTTGTGCCGGAGTCTTGCTGAGAAGAAGTACTCTAAGAGTTTCACCATTCACGCCTTGCGGTGCATCCGGGAGGCACAAATATGTATCATGATCTGAGTCGCCAGTTTTTGTGGAGAGGTATGAAGAAGGATATGGCAGTGTTCGTATTGAAGTACCTTACTTGTCAGCAAGTGAAAGCCGAACATCAGAGGCTAGCGAGTTTGTTGTAACCCTTGCCTATAGCCAAGTGGAAATGGGAGCACGTCACGATGGATTTTTTCGTGGGTCTTCCAAGGACTCAACAGGGTAGTGATGCCATTTGGGTGGTAGTTGACCGGTTGACTAAGTTAGCGCACTTTATTCCTATGCGCGTGAGAGATTCGATAGATTACCTTGCCGACTTATATATTCGGGACATAGTAAGGTTGCAGGGGGTCCCAGTGTCGATTGTCTCAAATAAAGATCCGCGTTTTCCTGCTAGGTTGTGGCAGAGGTTGTAGAGTGCCTTAGGCACAAGATTGACCTTTAGCATGGCTTACCATCCTCAGACTGACGGGCAGTCTGAGCGCACTATTCAGATCCTTGAGGATATGCTTCGGGGCAGTGTCTTTGATTTTAAGGGGTCGTGGGAGAGACACCTACCATTAGTGGAGTTTGCCTACAATAACAGTTTCCAATCGAGTATTGGTATGGCACCATTTGAGGCCTTGTATGGCCGACCATGTAGATCCCTAGTGTGTTGGGCTAATGTGGGTGATGCACCTTTGTTGGGCCTAGAGTTGGTACGAGAAACGACGGAGAAAGTAGCACTGATCCGTAAGAGGTTGGTTACGGCCCAGAGTCGCCAAAAGAGTTATGCCGACCGTAAGAGGAGACCTTTTTCATTTGAGGTAGGTGATCATGTCTTTCTGAAAATATCACCTAGACGGGGTTTGATGAGGTTTGGAAAGAGTGGGATGTTATCCCCTCGGTTTATTGGCCCTTTCAAGATCCTTGAGAGGATTGGGGAAGTTGCCTATCGTTTAGCATTACCGCCGCAACTGTCCGGAGTGCATGACGTGTTTCATATTAGTATGCTTCAGAAGTATGAGCCGAATCCCTCACATGTGTTGGATTGGACCGACTTAGAGGTAGATGAGGATGCTTTGTATGAGGAGAGAACGGTGAGGGTCTTGGATAGAAGAGACCAAGTCTTGCGAGGCAAGACGATTCCCTTGGTCAAAGTATTGTGGAAACATCACGGAGTTGAGGAAGTGACTTGGGAACGTGAAATAGAGGTCCGAGAGAAATATCCGGATCTGTTTATTAATGTTTGAGAATATGTTGGAAATCTTGTTTTGTTGAAGAACTCTAAGAACATTGAATATGTTTGGGTTGTAAAACATTGTATATGTTTAAACTATGAGAACATTGTATATGTTATGGACATCTTAGAAACATGAGTTTATTGTAAACATTGCATATGTTTGGGAATATGGAATATCACAAGTATTGTATTACCTAGAAGCATTGTATATACCATGTACACTTCTTGAAAATTTGAATTTTGATTAAACATTGTTAATGTCTTGGAAATTGTGAATTTCGTTTCAATGTGGGGCTCGTGTATCGAGTCGGTGAAAATGAATGACCGGAGGACGGGTCATGGTATTGGATTTGAAAGAATAACATGGTTGGGAATGACTAAACGTTGATTTTGAACTTAATTTGTAATTTCGGGGACGAAATTCTTTAAGGGGAGGAGGTTATAGAAACCCCGGTTTCTAACTTGACCTTTATGGTGTTTCGGACTCGGGTCTTATGGTTTAATGTTGTTGTTATGTCTCTTCTTCCTCTTACTCTTTTAATTTGAGTTTTGGGATGTCTTGGGCGTGCTCAGAACAGGTTGGTTGGTGGTTGGTTTAGAACCTTGTTACCCAGAATTTTGGTCTTCCACTCGAGCGGGTCCTTTTGCGCTCGAGCGGAGTTTGCAATCTTTCAGTACTTTGTGCATCTGCAAAAGATACTGCAAAAGCGTATTTCACGCTCGAGCGGAGTCTTTTATGCTCGAGCGGGTCTAAGCTGGAGCGGCCCTTCTGGCGCTCAAGCGACTGTCTGAAGTCTGTAAAATACTGGACGAGTGTATTCTACGCTCAAGCGGGTCTTATTGCGCTCGAGCGGGTAGTGCCTTACTGTTGTGTCTTGGTGCTCGAGCGGCCTTTATTGTGCTTAAGCGGGTATAATTTTTGTGTCTAACGCTCGAGCGTCAAAATCTCTGCTCGAGCGGACTGTACGTATATCAGATCATGAAAGTGACATTTTAAATCACTTTTTCTATTTTTTCTCTCTCTAAAACTTTCCAAAACCCTAAGTTGAGAGCTTCTCTCTCTAAAATACTCTCTTTCTCTCTTTCTTCATTTTGATCTAGATCTAGTGATCTTCTTACCCTCCTTCCTTTGATAAAAAGGTTAAGCTCTTCAAGATCTCCATTTTCATATGAGTAGAAATTGATTTTGTCATCCTTGGAGTTCATCCCTTGCTTGGCTCATCTTCTCTTCTTGAGGTAGGGATATTCTACTCTCTTATAGGGGCTTTAACATAGACATTGGTAATTTTGTATAAATAGTTGGTTTGGGTGAAGTTAGGGTTTTGAGTTTGAAATTGTTAAAGAGGGGTTTTCTATTTTGGATTCTATATGTATGTGGGGTCTTGAAAATGGAGTTATTTGTGTATAATGGGTGAAATTTGGCCTTAGGAGCAATGTTTGAAAAAGGAAAAAAATGCCCTAATTTGAATTTTATATATTATTTGTGTAAATGATGAAATCATTATGGAAATATGAAATTGGTTTGAAAATCATGAAATTGGAGGAAATTGTGGTTAAATGGTGTAGTTGGATCGATGACTCACTCACCTGTGGAAAATGTGATAAATTATCTGTCAAGAAATTTATTTATTTGTCTAGATATATCTGTTTTGGGCTATCGGTGGAGGATAGCCATGATTGTTGTAGAAACTGCATGTTGAATAGGTAAATTGAAACTAATCGATTTGAATATGTCATTGAATATGACGGTTGGAAGTAAACATTGTATATGTGATTGAATTGGTCATTGTATATGACAACGTATTTAAATACATTGTATATGTATCTTTGTTTAGGAGGAGATAGGGGATGTACTCCATTTGTTTGGGAGAAGATAGAGGATGGACTCCATGGTTAATTAAGTTGGCCGGAGTGTCCAGGGTGAAAGTCCCGAAATCTTGTTTATGTTTGGGTGCCGGTTCCCTCGGACGTAGTTCCATAAAATGGCAAAGTTATGGAAGTGTATGAACGATGTTTATGATTGAAGTGTTGATGAATGAGTTGTAGTCTCATTTTGAATTGTTTATTTGATAATGAATTATGTCAATGAATTGAATTGGGTAATAACTGGAAGTGAATTGAAATGTGGGTATCAATGTTGATTGATTATGGAAAAGGTTTAAGAAGGCTCACCCTACTTGGGACACCATTTTTTAGGTACAGGGAACATGCCGCCTCCAAGGTCTTAACTTGGGAGGTTTTGGAATTGAAGACTCCGTTTTTGCTATTTGTATTTTGTGTTAAATGTAAATCTAAGCCGAGGGCTTTTCATGTACAGAGTTGGAATTCTCTTTTGTTATAACCAAGTTATTACTTGGAAATATGTAAGCTCGTATGGCATTTACTTTGTTGATAACATGTAATATTTTTGTGAAGAAGACTTTGATGAATGAAAATGCATTCTTTCCTTTATGTTCATGAAACTTGTGAATGAATGATTTATGTCTTAAATTGAGGGCGTGACATAAAATATCTTCAAATAATTTTTTATGAATGAAGACATGGCATTACTGGCACTTTGATATAAACAAATCAAATCCCAATAAAAGGTGATTGCCAAGGCATAATTTTGGACATGCAGATGCCACAGTTATTTTGAATAATAAAACTATGAAAAATAAACATTTTTTACGAATAAAGATAATAAAGATAATTATATAAAAAAAGACATCAAAGGGGTGCAGCCCATATAAAAAACTACAAAAAATAAACATGATACATCTTAGTAAGCTAATGTAGAGTTCTGATAGCGTACTTTACATACCAAATAAAAACTAGCTTTTTGAATGTTTGATGGCACTTGCAACCTAAGAAAAGAACAACCTAAAATTGATTACTTAGAGGGAGTGGATTACCTTTTTGGCTAATTTAGCGTGTTCCCAAACATAGCCTTAATGTTCTAGTTTAGTTGCTGAGGAAAGAAAAAATAGTCATGCTTAAAAATTTTAGATAAGCTTTACAATTGTGATGCAATAGAACAGAAGGACTACACTGAAGTAAAGCTAATACAAAATTAAATTCATATATATATTTTTATACTTCATTTTCAGCATCCAACATAGGGAAAATGAAAAGAAAATCACACAAAATTGAAAATTTTGTAAAATTAACTTGTGGATTGATGTTAATGGTACCTTGCGATTATCTTGCCGAAGCTGAGGTAGATGCTGAGGCAAGAGAGAGCATTGTCGAAGCCATCTGAATCAGTCAAGACGATGAAACGATAAGATCAATTTGAAACACTTAAAATTAGTAAAAAAAATCAAGCAGTGATCTTCAAGAGAAGTAAAACTTTGTTGAGTCTAAATTCGAACTGGTAATCAATGCAAAAAAACAAGAGTAAGAACACAAAAACAAACCTCAGAAAAGTAATGAAGTTGTGTTCAGATCTAGAAACAAAACAACCAAAAACATAAAAACTAACCTTGCCTTTCAAAGAAAATTGATAATTCGAACAAAAATGAACTAATCACTATTTTTGGTTTTTGGGTTGATAATTCGAACAAAAACGAACGAAAATGGCATAATATTTTCTTTCCTATACATACCTTCTCAATCATTTATCAGTAATCTCACAGGGTCCAAAGCTCTATTTCAGCTACTGGACAGAAATCGATAATAAACCTGCAATTACAAAATTGAAATATCAACTCATATGATGGAAATTAAAACCGGAGAAAGAATAATTAAATCTTGTTCCTCCACACATACCTACAATATACAAAATTGGGTTGACTTTCAAGCATTGCCAGACAAAAAGTGTACAGAGAGCAGGGCATCTAATTCTCCTGCAATCCTTATTGCAACAACGTGAGATCTAAGGGCATAGAGGATTTGAATTGAAATAATACAGTAGATAACCATTGGGGTTAGACTTCCCCCTCCCCTCCAAGGGCTGTCATTTGAAGTCATAACCATTCACAGATTTCAACTAATACTAAAAATTTGGACATCTCCAATGGTCAGCATGCTTACAAAATATGAATGGAAGATAGACCGGTAAAGGCATCACTTCTCTATGATAAGAAAGAAGACATTCTAGTGCAAATATTATTATAGATTGAGAATTGACAAAGCAAAAAACCAGTAAGCTAATACTAAAAATCTGTATCTGTATGTGTGTGTGTATATATATAGATTGAGAATTGATGGAGTAAAAAACCAGTAAACTAAAGAATAAAAATTAACAAACATTTACAGAGCATTACACAAGGGTTTGCATAACAATTAATCAGCATATCAACCTATATATTTATATAAAAAACAATTTGCACCAAACAGTTTATGTGATGAAGAGGAGATATCACTAAGGACCTGAAATCTAATTTCTACCCTATTCAATAATGTGCAATTGTGCCTTTTCACGTCATAAAATGATTCGACACTATCTAATAGATGTTCCCTTCTTATTCAACAAAAGTTGGCATATAGATAGGCTGACTAAACTCACCCCATGAAAACAGTTGAGATAATACTATGCTATTACTTAATCACTGTGGCTTAACTGTTTTCTTCCAACTTACAAGAGAGAATCAAACTTCAACTCATTGTGCTCCATGGACTAAAAGAATGATGATGTAGCTGCTTTCCTATCGCTCACTTTAAACTAGAAGAATGATGATGTACATGTATATATGTTGTGTCTGTGGAGAGAGAGAGAGAGAGAGAGAGAGAGAGAGAGATTGAAAACACACCAAATCGCTATTGAATCCAAATTACTACGATCTCTGTTAGAAACTAAATCCATTTACTCAAACTTATATATATCTGCAAAAAAAAATTGAAGAAGATGAAGAATAAATTATATAGCATCTCAGAATATGTGTGTATATATATGTGTGTGTGTGTGTGTGTGTGTGTGTGTGTGTGAAGCTAAAAAAAATGATAGAAAATCTCAGAAAATTGTGCATCAAGATCAAGATCTCAGCAGTCATGAAAATCATTGATTTACCTTCCGATTGAAGCCAAAGAACTCATATCTTCAATGATCGATTCGGATTGAAGCTGAGATCAATAGTTGAGATCTTAATTGATTTGGATTGAAGTTATAATAGGTAAAGATCGATTGAAGTTGAGATCAGTATAAAGATGGATTCGGATTGAAGTAAAAATTGATTCGGATATGAGGCGGCAGAAAGATCGATTCAGACTGAAGCTAAAGATCTATCGAAGTTGAAGATCAATTGAGTCCTAGACAGAGTGAACAACTGAGATCAATTAAGTCCAAGTGAAGATCGATTCTTATATCGCGTATTTGACAACCTTTAGCAACCAAACTAATTCGTCTCCAACTTTTAACCACCTCAAACACGCGGGTCAAGTGTCTAACTGAACCTACGCCTTAATTTTTTTGGTCCTAAAAGTCACTAAATAATTTTTTTTGGCCTATCATAAAGAAATATGGTGTATTCTTATAATTTTCTTTTAAAATTTATTTTTGTCCCTAAATGATGATTTTTAGAGACTAAATTCAATTAGTCTCTAAATATTAGTCTCTAAATCACTATTTTCTTGTAGTGAATGAAGAGACTACTATAAATAAACCATATTAGTTATGATTTTTTTTTAATGTAACGGCGATGTCATTATTAGTGATATGCAAGTATAAATATATGAAATTTATTGGATTGTTAGTTACATTTGACATGTGAGGTTCACTCTCTATGTGTTTATTTACCATTAGTGGATGAAATCACATATCAATGCTGACGTGGTATTACCATTATATTGAATTTTTAATCAAATTTTGTATCAAAAAATAATTTATCATTATATAATTTATTTTAAGGCTTATATCCATTTTTTTTATTTATTGTCTATGATATACTAGTTACAAATAACATTCAACTTGTTTGTTTCCAGTTTTCAAAAAATTGCACTTCTTTTATTTTTCGTATTTTAATGTTTTGAATGAATTTTTTTAATATTTTAAGATTTTTTTTTTAATTTTTAGACACACCTAATATAAATACACTTAAAAAGTACCCCCTCTAATCACTTTCTGGTTTGAATTTGTAGAGTGATTTTGGAAAAAAAAATTCAAAAAACTTGTTTGGTTTGTAATTTTTCCAAAATAATTTCCAAAATCACTTTCTCTCTCTTACACATCAATCAATCACTTTTTCTCTCTCCTCTCTCCTTTTCAATCATTTTTTCTCTCACATACATCTACTCAATTACAACAAAATATCAAATCATTCCAAACTCCAAAACTACTTTCAAAATACACAACCAAATAAACTAAAAAAATTTCTAAACTCTCTCCAAAACAATTTTTAAAAACTACTCTCTCAAAACCAAACCAAACCAAACATACATTAAATACCAAAAAATATTTTAGTACCCAAAGGAAAAATATTTTTAAAAACTACTCTCTCAAAACCAAACCAAAAAAATATTTTAAAAATACATTAAATACCAAAAAATACACAAAAAAATATATAAATTCAGTATATTTTTTGTGTATTTATTAAGTTTTTAAAATATTTTTTCACAAATATTTTACTATTTAGATATATCTAAGTAAGGTCCATCTAAAAAAGTAAAAAAATTACTTAAAATTCAAAAAATATTCACTAAAAACAAAAAAAAAAATACGAAAAATAAAAAAAACTCAATTTTCAAAAAACTAAATTCAGAAAACTGAAACCAAACACACTGATTTTTTTTTTTGATGTTTCTTGAAATTAATCGTAAAAACTTGCGTGACATATTTTTGTAAAAATTATTGTAATTAATAAGTACCCCCTCTAATTTAATTTTCTGACTCCATCACTATGTATAGGGGTTTGTTTTTTTAAAAAATCAATCCATTGGTTTTCATTACCCTACCAATCGATCTCAACATGTTCACCTTCTTAAACCAAAGAGGTCGGTTTGGGTTGGTGGATTTTTTTTTTGCATACCTCTAATTAAAAAGTAGAAAATTAATCATTTAATTTTACTTTCTGATTATTAATTTTGATGTTAAAAGTAAAATAATAAAAAAAAAAAAAAAAAAAAAAAGGGGGGGGGAAAGGGGGGGGGGGAAAAAAAAAAAAAAGTCTGCCCTACAAATAGGCTTGACTTTAGAGAGGTTCACTGAGTTCGGCTTTTAAGAACAACCTACGAAAGACGGTAGAAGCTATTAAAACAATGGGCTCATGAAACTAGCTCGTGTGATTTATCCATCTTAACGGGCCGAACACATAGACTTTGTTTGGTTTGATTTTAAGAATATATTTTTCTTAAAAACTTTTGAAAAAAGTAAAATTAATTTAGTGAAAAAATAAATAAATAAAAGGACTCATTATATTTATATAGGTTAATATTTTTTGAAGAAGAAAATAATTTTTAAAAATTCAAAAATGTTTCTTTTGTCAAACTAATTTCTATGTTTCAAAAAAAAAAAAATTTGATTTTGAAAGTATCGTTTTAGGTGGTTAAAAAAAATGGTAAAGTAAGAATAATAACAAATACTAGAAGGTTATCATGCAAATTTGCCAAAATAATTAAGCACACTTGTATCTAAGGATTTGATTGAAGTTGTTAAAAAATTGTCGAAATTGTGTTAAAGTTAATTCAACAATAATTTGCGTCGTGTCAATTTAATGCTTATGGTTCTCAGAATATCAATTTTACCCTTGAGGTTTGGCTTAGTTGATAACCCCTTTTTAGAATTTCAACTTAAATTGATGGACAAAATAATCAATTCACTTCTCAAAATAGAAATTACAAAAACTATTGTAGTAATTTATATATTTTTAATCCGTGTAGTTGAAAACTATTAATAAATTAAACTTTAATGTTCCACTCTTGTTCATGCAAGTTCGCTTTGAGAAGTATTTCATAAAAATGAAAAACTTACAATAGTCCAAACTCAGCCTCGAAGAGGTTTACAGCAACAGTCCACTTGAATCTACTTGAGACTACTCCTATGAATTGAAGTGCAGTGCAGATATGTAAAGTGCAGGTATTGAAAGTACAGGAATGTAAAACTGGAAAGTAAAATATGAAATAAAGACTGGTATGTATGATCTGAGTTCCGTCCCTTTTCCTGGGGGTCTCTCTGCTATTTATACTTGTCAAAGATGACCTTCGAACTGCTCTTCGAACCGTCGAACTGCTCCTCCATGATCGTTGATCATGTTGCCTTAGAAGTAGCTCCATTATGCCACCATTTGCAGTTAGGCTTCCCTCCTGTATTTGAATTTGAATATGAGTAACCGTTGAAGCCACGTCACCTTGCGTTTCTTTACTGATCCAATGTTGCTCAGACCATGTGAGAACCAATTATCATCACCACGTGTACGATCAGGATTGGAGACTTAAATTATTTTCCAATAATACCCTTATTCTGCCACGTGTCAGACTGTAACTGGCTTTTACAAAATATATAGCTAACAATTTGACATGTGAGGTTCACTCTCTATGTGTTTATTTACCATTAGTGGATGATATCACATATCAATGATGACGTAATATTACCATTATATTGAATTTTTAATCAAATTTTGTATCAAAAAATAATTTATCATTATATAATTTATTTTAAGGCTTATATCCATATTTTTTTTTATTATCTATGATATACTAGTTACAAATAACATTCAACTTATTTGTTTCCAGTTTTCAAAAAATTGTACTTTTTTTTATTTTTCGTATTTTAATGCTTTGAATGAATTTTTTTAATATTTTAAGATTTTTTTTTTAATTTTTAGACACACCTAATATAAATATACTTAAAAAGTACCCCCTCTAATCACTTTCTGGTTTGAATTTGTAGAGTGATTTTGGGAAAAAAAATTCAAAAAACTTGTTTGGTTTGTAATTTTTCCAAAACAATTTCCAAAATCACTCTCTCTCTTACACATCAATCAATCAATCACTTTTTCTCTCTCATCTCTCATTTTCAATCATTTTTTCTCTCACATACATCTACTCAATTACAATAAAATATCAAATCATTCCAAACTCCAAAACTACTTTCAAAATACACAACTAAATAAACTAAAAAAATTTCTAAACTCTCTCTCCAAAACAATTTTTAAAAACTACACTCTCAAAACCAAACCAAACATACATTAAATACCAAAAAATATTTTAGTACCCAAAGGAAAAATATTTTAGTATCCAAAGGAAAAATATTTTTAAAAACTACTCACTCAAAACCAAACCAAAAAAATATTTTAAAAATACATTAAATACGAAAAAATACACAAAAAAATACAAAAATTCAGTATATTTTTTATATTTTTGTGTATTTATTAATTTTTTAAAATATTTTTTCACAAATATTTTACTATTTAGATATATCTAAGTAAGGTGCATCTAAAAAAGTAAAAAAATTACTTAAAATTCAAAAAATATTCACTAAAAATAAAAAAAATAAAAAAACTTAATTTTCAAAAAACTAAATTCAGAAAACTGAAACCAAACACACTGATTTTTTTTTTTTTTATGTTTCTTGAAATCAATCGTAAAAACTTACGTGACATATTTTTGTAAAAATTATTATAATTAATAAGTACATTCTCTAATTTAATTTTCTCACTCTGTCACTGTGTATAGGGGTTTGTTTTTTTAAAAAATCAATCCATTGGTTTTTATTACCCTACCAATCGATCTCAACACGTCCACCTTCTTAAACCAAAGAGGTCGGTTTGGGTTGGTGGATTTTTTTTTGCATACCTCTAATTAAAAAGTAGAAAATTAATAATTTAATTTTACTTTCTGATTATTAATTTTGATGTTTAAAAACAAAAAAAAAAACCTCACCAGGGTAGTAACCCAAAAGAAAGGAGATTGGTCTGCCCAACAAATGGGCTTGACTTTAGAGAGGTTCACTGAGTTTGGCTTTTAAGAACAACCTACGAAACACAGTAGAAGCTATTAAAACAATGGGCTCATGAAACTAGCTCGTGTGATTTATCCATCTTAACGGGCCGAACACATAGATTTTGTTTGGTTTGATTTTAAGAATAAATTTTTCTTAAAAACTTTTGAAAAAAAATAAAATTAATTTAGTGAAAATATAAATAAAAAAAAGGACTCATTATTTTTATATAGGTTAATATTTTTTGAAGAAGAAAATAATTTTTAAAAATTGAAAAATATTTCTTTTGTCAAACAAATTTCTATGTTTCAAAAAAAAAAAAAAGATTTTGAAAGTATCGTTTTAGGTGGTTAAAAAAATGGTAATGTATGAATAATAACAAATACTAGAAGGTTATCATGCAAAATTTCCAAAATAATTAAGCACACTTGTATCTAACGATTTGATTGAAGTTGTTAAAAAATTGTCGAAATTGTGTTAAAGTTAATTCAACGATAATTTGCCTCG